ATCTGCCACACTCTCTCTCGCCTCGCTTACACACCCTGCTCCGATGTCAGGACTACAGCAGGTTGGCGCGGGGCAATGAATTATAGGACTAAACTGTCCGTCTACACGTGCCACATCCAAGACCTGGTCTCCAATGCATGGACCAGACTACAGTAAGGACGGCCCTGACCCCACACGGGTGAGAGCGCCGGAAAACGGTCACGATTCAAGGCTGCATTGTGAAAAAAGGGCAAGCGCAAGGTACTCACCATCAAGAGTTCCAACGCAGGCCGAAGAATTGCAAAGGCAGGTGGAGGGTGGGGTACAGAGGAGGGCGCAGAAGGAGCGAGCGCAAAGACAGCAGGTAGGCTGGTGCAGACCGCCGGTGACTGCGGCATCTGGCGAAGGCATTCGACGACTGCAGCAAGCACAAGCAATGTGATCACGACCTGAAATTAGATTGCCGTTATGGCAGTCATCGGAGTCACATGAAATGCTTGTAGCCCTACTGTTATAACTTCGGCTGGGATACATAAACCAGTTATGCAGAACCTGAAAATAAATTCAGAAACCGACAAGGCGTCAGTACCTAAATTCATACAGACGATGGGACAAGTTTCGAAGAAAGTCGATAGGGGAAGGGAGCGGGGGTGCGGCAACACAAGAATATGAAATGGCAAGGGCAGTCTAAACTGGGCCAAAATACACAAAACGGGTGGGAGCTGCAGGGAGAACTTTGCGCGCCCTTCATCCAGCATTCGATCTAGGGAAGAACATGATACAACGGGCGAACAGCAGACAACGTGCAAAGTAATTTGAGAAATCGTGGGCTAAAAAGCGTCTTAACCAAGACTACTGTTACAGAATCGCATACTTTCTCGTACTTGTTACGTTTTTTACTTGCTAGAAAATACATTGATTACCAGCCCTCGCGCTGGAAGAGTATTTACTTCTGCGACTAGGTCTTTCTTTCTAATAACGTTGTGAAGCCGACCCAGATGGTCATATGTGGAAAGAACTTTCCAAAAGAGCACGCTGCGCCGATGCCAACATTCAAAACGGCCAATGATTAACGATTGGAATGGTCATTTAGTTCGGAGAGCGGCCAATTTGACGTACGACTGTGAACACCATTAACAGCAAGGTGTTCATTAGCGTCCTGAAGGATGCATTCGGGTACAACGGCATCCATAGGTGCAGAATAGACGCTATCAGTTCACAGGACATTGCTCCAGTTCACCGTTCAAAAGAGGTATAAATTTGCTAATATGTACAACTGTCATCTAACTTTTTCTACAACAACAAGCCTCTCCGCGTGTGGTCCCTAATCTACTTTTATTCTTGCCAGCAGCCCGGATATCAATTATATAGAAAATCTTT